TCAGTCATTTCATTTATTGTAAGTTTAGTTCGTTCGTAGACATGTTTTTCTCTCTATTTCAGTGAAAGGTGTTAATTTCTATGGCCCTCAGAGTGAGTTCATTGTAAGTGGCAGTGACTGTGGAAATATATTCCTATGGGAGAAGCAGACTGAGAGGATAGTACAGTTCATGGTAGGGGATGAAGGAGGAGTGGTAAGTAGATTGCAGTAGTCTACTGTATGATTTCCCACTTGCTACATAACAATATAAACCTTTGTCTCTGTAAATTGTATGCATCACAGGGTGGAACAGCTTTCTGAAAAAGTTTACTATATCATTAATACGTTCTGTGATCTGATTACCAAAACGACTTTTCATGATCGGGTAATACAAATTGATCCATGTTTCTGAAAAAATGTATTTGATCTAGTTGTGGAGTAATTTTCTTTGTTTACAGGTTAATTGTTTGGAGCCACATCCTAGTACAGCAGTGTTAGCCACTAGTGGTCTGGATCATGATGTGAAAATCTGGTCTCCAACTGCAGAGGAACCTACAGACTTGGATGGTCTCAAACGGGTATGTTTCTATACTCATGGAGTGGAGAAACACTATTTACAATAAAATATGTTGTCAACTGTTGATTAAGCCAATCATAGAGCCTGTATTAAGTCATGTGGTTGCTATCAACTAATCATGAAAGTTGATGCAGTTAAGATAACTTACACTCAGTTGGTATGAGTGCTCTAAACTGCTGTGTGAGGGCGCTTCATGCATTTTTCATTCTTTGTGCTTGACTGTGGTCATGTGATGTTATTGATGACTTCTACTTTTCAGATCATGCGTGCCAATAGAAGAGAGAGAGAAGAAGAAAGACGACGTGAACCCGATTTGATAGATGGCCATATGTTATGGTTTATAATGCATCATCTACGGAGACGAGCAAGAAGACGTGTAAGTATTCAATGCTACTTGTTTATAATCTGAATTCTGTACACAACCAAAGAATTATCATTCTGAACTGCCAATCAAATGATTGTGAGTCCTTGCTATAACGTGGAGCTGTATGTTTGGGCAAGTTCCTTACCGCTTCTGTCATCACCCAGGAGTGAATGAGAACCTTGCACTGAATGTTTGATACTTGATTCGTGTGTGCCTACAGTACAGTACAGTACAGTACAGTACAGGTGTAACTTAACATTTAACAACAGGCTTAAAGCCAGTTTAACTTACTTTCACAGCAACCACATATCTAAATTGTGCAGATTACTCTGACGAAATATTTCAGATATTGCAAAATGTGGTAACATGGATAAACACTACAGAGAATAAATTGAAATTATTGATGAGGATGATGCTCACTTTTTGTGAAAAGGCTGCTGAGAGCCAGCCTGGGAGTCGAATTATGCTTGGACTTTGTTGTGCATGACATTTTGGGTTGTACATGTATGCTTTTTGAGGTGATTTATACTCAGTGTTTTTCCCAGAAAATTGACTCAGTGTTACAGCTAATTTCTATATTAATTTGCACACTAATTAATGTAATGTACAATTATATTTTTAGTCCCCGTTCGAACGAAGTTCGAAGACGGTGACTTATAATTCGGTCTCCGTCCCTCTGTGCGTCCGTCCGGAGTCATATCTCAGAATCCCTTGGACCGATTCCGTTCAATCTTTGCATGTGCCTAGTACTTTATGTGGGACATATGCACATGCAGTGGTTTTGCAATTCAATTCAAAATGGCCGACTGGCAGCCATATTGTTTTATGAAAATGTTGTATTTTGCACATGCTTTGTCAGTTGTCATTCAAACTTGGTACATAGAATATACATTTTAGGATACTGTCCATGACTATTTATTTCGCAATTGGATCAAAGATGGTAGACTGGCAGGCATCTTGTTTTTGTTTTTTATGCAGTATCTTGGACGTGCTCTGTCAGTTTTCATTCAAATTTGGCACATACATGTACTTTATACATGTTAGGATGCATGTCCATGACAATTTGTTTCAAAATCTGGTCAAGGATGGCCGATTGACAGCCATCTGACTTTTTGGCCTTACTACTATATTTCCACAATTTATGTACCATTTTCATTGATATTGGCAATTGGCACATACATCATACATATCAGTGTGTTTCAGATCAAAGATGGTCGAATAACGGCTGTTTTTATTTTTGGCCATATTACTACTACACAGAACATGTGTTTTGATGTAAATATACAATCTGTTGTATACGCCACTTGGAAGTCAAGTTTCAAGGACACGCTCGCGACAACCCCTCCTCTTTAATATGACGAGCACAAAGAGAACTTTCAAAAAATTAACGGCGACTGTGTCATTTTCAATGACTTGTTTAAATTTACTGTACACAGTGAAACACATTAATCAAGTAAAATTAGTTTATATTGTTAATTGGTTTCAATTATATACAATTCCGATTCATATCTGTAACTATGAAATTGTCATTAAAATTGAAATGAACGCCTATATCAAATGATTAAAACTATCCTCCCTGTCTGATCGATAGAACTGCAGTGAATTTCCCTGTCAGAACATGTTCATTGGGAGCCAGTGGTGTGTAAAGCTGTTAGATTCTGTGAAAAAAAAATATTCACCAAATTCAATTTTAGGTTTTGGTTTTTAATTCTCTGTTTTGAGAAGGTAACAGTACATGGTTAATATTGGATATTCACTGTTTTTATGTTTGTTTTTTTTTTTTAAATAAGCAAAAATAAAATCCAGTGAACATTTCGGGCCCTATACAGTAAAATTCAACTTGGTTAGCTCACGTACACATGAAAATAACAAATCTTTTTACTAGTGGTTAACCTCGCCTCTGAAATTGTTTCCCTCTTTAGGCTAGAGAAACTGGTGAACGAGAAAGTGATGAAAGTTCAAGCAGTGACTCGGATGAATCTGAAGATTCCGATGATGATACCGGTGAGATGGCTGAAGGGGTTCAGTGTCCAGCATCATAAGACATATGTGTACAGCATAAGACATCTACCATCTTGATATTCACTGTCAATTTATTACGTACTGTGGGAATTTCAAAGGTTGTGAGATTACAAGACCTTTGATTGGATTAAAGCTGCATTATTTCTAATTACTGTGGGCTGGGGCTATGAATAAACCCTTGGGAGGGGGGGGGGGGGGTCATTTGAGTACAAGTTGCATACCAAACATTGAAAATGGATATGGGGTTGTAATTTTATCCTCCGCTGCCACTCCATATTGTTCTGAACATCAAATTAGGCAACATTGTCCACTAAGTAGCTGACTGGTTGTTATTGACTAGATAAATGTGTACATGCACAAGACACACCAGCAACTGTGTCCTGACATGTAAGACTATGTCAGTACTTGCTTTGTGTTCAATTTGTATGGATAACTTTGCCATTGTCATACAGCAATTTATATGATTGGATAAAGTGAATTGAAAAGTAATTGCATCTTCTATCTATCTATATGTGTATGAGTTCCCCACCATTAGTAAAATGTCTCCCTGTTGTGGTTCGATCCAACTTGTTCTATTCGCCTAATGATCTCACAAAATACATAGCAAAGTCAGCAACTTGGGCTGGCGGCAATGTTGCTGTTTTGGTGTTCGGAACAATGTGGGATTGACAGTAATATGTTCTGGTAAGGAAAATTAATGCATACAACATGGAGCTTACAAACAAGATTAGTTTTACTGCAATGCATGTACATGTATTAAGCATCTTGAAGTTACATTCTAGACATGAATTTTGGGGTTCCTTTTAAAAGGTAATACCCCCTGGAGCTTTCAAGTGTTGGTGGTTTTCAACAAAGATTGCATGGAAAAATCTAAATCCAGCAATTTCTACCTCTAAACAAGTTTGTTGATTGCAAATTTCCCTGAATGTTCAAATTGATTAGAATGCCTAGTCATAAATATTCATCACGATTTATGCATATTTTTTCAAGGTTGCGTACCTGACTTCTTGTCAAGTGTCCCCCTTGAATGATCCATGTAACTCTGTATATCATTTTCTAGTTCTGTTTGTAGGTTTTAAAAAAATCAAAATTACTTATTACTTTTGTGCTCACTTGTACAATATACCATTCATGCATTGCTGATGCATGTGATATGATTTTGTTCAAGGTTGGTGTAATTTGACGTGCACAGTCACTTTCTCATCTCATGCATTCAACAAAATTATACCAACTAACTCAAACATAGTCAGGAGCTGGTAGTAAGAGAGAACGTGCCTGTCAAATCTTTTTTTGTGTGTGTTTCAGTCTGAATTTTAGGAAAAATTAAATTCAGTTTTTCATGAAAAATCATGAATTCAATGACAATTTCATGATAAAAATAAAAAGTTGAATGTTTATGTCAATTATATGAAACAAATTGAACAGAAGCATTTTTCTTGTGAATAGCAACAAACAATACTGAATTGGTGGTGAATTCCAGAATGACTCTGACATGTACAACTCTTCATGCTGTACTAAGTCTGTGTTCCTTCAACACTTTGATCTCCATTGTCAATTTTTGGCACCATCTACAACATTATATTGTTTTTCTTTTTCCCACATGAAATGTTAATAAAATTTGACAAACATTTTGTCCAAAAATGAAACACAAAATCTAAAAATGACATGGTGATAACATTTTTTGAAACCTGGAAATATTAGCACTAAATTTCGGGGGGGGGGGGGTGTCTGGCACTCGATTGGTTAACACTATAATCCCGGGTCAAATGATTTGAGATAGAACAGTTTTTCACTACCAGATAAACATGCTGCCGAACGTAACTTTTGTAAGCCATTTTTCTGATTGAATAACAAAAAAATTGAACAAAATATGGATCATTTATTTTGGAAGTGAAAAAACGTTATGTAAAAAATGTAATAACACATGAACATTGGAAGTAATTTGGTCTCACTAGTTCTGAATGTAATGAAACTACAGACTCAACAGAAGAACTGCCGAGCTGACTCAAGCAGTTTGCTATGGAAGTCAAACTAAATGTAAATAATATTAACAATGAGTTTTTACCAATCATTACCAAAAAAAGGTTTTGAAGATTGTTATAAATGATTGAAACCTAATTTTCTTATCTCTCTTGACATGCTGCATATGATATTAATATTAAAGTCCTGTTCGATATGGGAATCATAGCGACGTATATAATGTGTGTAAAATACATTGTTTATTTACATGAAATTTGAACACACGCTGCGCGATGACCACCGCGCTTTAAACTAACGTGATGATGCCCTCTAGTTTCAGAAATATCTGCTGGAACACGTTGAGGGTGCTGTTTGGCTTGAATGTGAAATTACACACAGTTGAGAGAATATTGTGGCTTACTACACTACGGCTGCTGCATTTTTTTTTTTCAGTTTTTTTGATTCAAGTATTAATACAAGTTCAATGATTTATACTTTTAAATTATCATTTTGCTGTTTTGTCTTACATTAATAGCCTGGAAGCTTTGTCTTTTCTGAGGTTTTTAAGACCTCTATAATAACCATCCAGGAACAATGGTCAGTTTATCTTATAACCATGCATATATGCATGCATCATATGAGCTGTTCAAACATGAACCATGGGAAGTAAAATACTCTCCATTGATTGGCCTGTTTAGCTTATTAGTCATGCAAATATATTCAGTGTCATATGGGCTGTTGAAACATGGGAAGTAAAATACTCTCCATTGATTGGTCAGTTTACCTTATTAGCCATTCATATATGCATGCATCATATGGGCTGTTCAAACATGAACCATGGAAAGTATACTTTCCATTGATTGGCCAGTTTAGCTTATTAGCAATGCAAATATATTCAAACCTCACTTTTACCTGTCAAATACTCTTCATTCATTGGTCAGTTTAAATTCAGCATGCTTGGAATTCCCCATGATTCAGTTACAATCATAACACATTCATGCCACCAATCAAATCTTCTGTTACTAGGTGGACATGATTGTGTTCGTTAAACATTGACGTGTTCCCATAATGCATTATCTTCTTATGAGGGCGATATTCACACTTGAAATGAACAGCGCCACCTACAGATTCAACATTGTAGATGGAGCATTTTAGGTAAAAACGTTTATAATGGTAGATTTATTCTTCTAAACTTTTAATGTTAATGATTATTGCGAGTTAACAAAAAAAAAAAGAAAACTGTTTTGAGGGATGTTCTCTTCGTTGATTCAAATGAGAAAATTATAAAATAATATAGTATATATTTAGTAATACATGTAGCTTTATTTTGTTTCTTTAATTTATATCTATATATATATATATGCATCACATTGCGTTGTTTACCTTGATTTCTGTACCCATACCCTGCAAACAAACTGTGACTGAAAAAGTTTTCCTGCACCAACATGGTGCAAGTGGAATTGTATTTTCAGACCATACTGGGCCTAGAATATATGCAATGTTCCACTTCCAATAATCACTCCAATTATACAGAGTAATGTCTCAGTACTATTCAGATTTATGCAATCAGAACACTATGGGATTTCATAGGTGTCTATTTGGCATTCCACTCACTGTAAGCCTGGGTATGATGCTAGTAATATCTCATTAGCGATTCGGATTTATGCAAACATCGTATTCTATGTAATCTTCAGAACTAAAATACTGCTGGGGTGGAACACTGTATAGATACTCGGCCACTGTTACTTGGAATTATATAAGGGGTGTATCAGGTGCATAAAGTCACTTACAACAACACGTGTTCCTTATATCATGGCTTGCGGCATATATAATACTTTGTAAATAATTATTTTTTCTGTGATTTACTCAGACTGAAAATAAACAGTTGTTGCTGAAATAATTTGAGTAATTGGAGTGTTATTGTTGACGCATATTTCTGCATGTATACCTGTGACCTTTTTGGGACTACTTTATTTGTAATAGTGTTATATGTCACTTGATTAACAGTCTGAGAGGGTATTGATATGTAAAAAGTAGTGCCATTAGGATTACTGAAAATGGTGGAGCTCTGATATATTTTGTGTTCCAGGGTCAACACGTCATGATAGACTTGAATTCTCGTCTCTATTTGGCTGGATTGTGCTGTATATTGGCTTTTCAGTTTCTTACTACATGTAGGAACCATACAATTGATGGTTATTAGCGAGCATCGGTGCATGAAGGCACTACCGATATCCCCAAGACATAGTTGCTCTTTGGCTGTACACAGACCTGTTGAGATTTACATTTCAATGAAACATTGGTACATGTGAGGTAATC